TGCTCTCTTCAAAGAGAAGGAAGAACAAATCCCAAAAAACTCCAGAAAGCTGGGAATCCCCCAGCCTTCCCTGTGCAGGTTGTGGTGGTGACCACCGGCACTGTCCTGGGTTTGTGGGGACACAGGTGACACCACCCGCAGCTTCAGCTGGCAGGGAAAGGCAGTTTCTCCTGAAAAATCCTCATGAGGCCCTAAAAAAACCCCACCAAGCTTGTGGCAATGCCCCATTTAACAGATGTGGTTCTCCCCCTGCCCCCAGATCTTTTATCAGCTTCAGCAGAGTTTGTGACCTGCCAAGAGATAAGGCCCGGAAATCCTGATACCAATTTGCTCTGATGAACAGAATTTCTTTGACTAGAATTCTTCTTTGAGCAGAAACCAACATTTTCATCTATTTCCACCCATTCTCCTGGACCACAGGAGCTACAGATGTCCCAGCTCTTTGCCATAAAACCCCCAAACCCCAATTGGCCTTTGCCATAAAAAACCCAAACCCTAATTTGCCTTTGCAAGGAATTGAGGATTTTCATGATCCAAAAGGATTTTCCCAGGTTGGCAGCTCGGATCTCCCAAAGTTTTGCAGCAGCACACTTGAGTCACTCTCTTAATTAGGTGATTTTCTATGGAAGTTATTTTTATCCATCTTTGTGGTCCCACTAGGAAACATTTTTCTAATTCCTGTCATCTACCCAAAGCAAACACATTCACTGGTATGGGAATTGCACAGAATAGCACAGAATTTGTTTCCTCTTTTATTCTTTCATGCAACAATAACACTCAAAATAGCTCCTAGGATTGTTTGTTAAAGAAATAATAAATTTTTCTTTCTGACAGCTTTGCCCCCACCAGCTGAAGATAACCAGTGTTCCTTCAGGAGAGGTTTCTGGGACAGTAATTCCTCATGCACTTGTTCCAGGTCCCTGTGGAGGAAGGGTTGCTTTGTGTGATGATCAGGATGGAGATGGATCATGGCATTGGAGCTGTCCCTGGTGGTTTGGGATTCCCAGCTGGGCTCTGAGGGAGCTCTCAGAGATCCCTGCTCAGCACAGGCTTCACCTGCTCCAATCCTGCTGCCACGCTGCAGTCATTACTTTACTGTCCTTTTCCAATCCCAAAAGCTCCTTTGGGCTTTTCCAATGACTTTCCATTTACCCCCCACCATGGCAATGAGTGTTCGCTCTGCTCTCACTTTACAACACGGTGTAAAAGTTGGAAAAACCCTACTCCAGGTGAATTTGGATGAGCCATGGCATGACATCACTTCTGCTTGAGCCCCTCTGGGCTGGCACCTCCACCTGGGAGTGACCCTGGCACCATGTCCTGGATCAATCCCAGCCCCACACTGCCTCTGGCTCCCTCCTGGTGGGATGGGGGAGAGCACTGGAATGGGAAAAGTGGCACGAAATTCGTGGCTGAGGAAAACCCTGTATGGAAAGAATTTCCTGCTATGGGTCCATGGTGGGGATGGAGACAGTCCAGGCAGGATGGGCTGTGTTGGGGTGAGGGTGGGGAGGGTGGATGAATTCAGCAGAAGACAGAGGAAATCTGTGGCTTCCAGGGAAATTCCTGCCAGCCTCATCCCTGGGGATGAGCTGAGCAGTGGAATGTTGTGACTCAAAGGAAAGCACGGAGTTCAACTGGAACCAGGCTGATCTGACCAGGAGCATTCAGACCCGAGCGAGAGACTGAGGTGAAACCACGAGAGGAGCAGAAAGAAACCCCATGAGGGTCTGTCCGTGGCACAGCACAGGCAGAAATCCAAGAGCTCCATGGATTTTCAGCTAAGGACAGCAGTGGGAATTTCCACCTCAGCTCCTGGATGAAGGGCATGTCCCAAAGTGCTGTTCCACGATTATTTCCTCACTGGAAGTGGGAATTAGTGAAGGAAGAAGCCAGAACACCCTGAGATTTGCATTAAAAGTTTTGCACCGAGTCCTTCCTCCCAGTTTTATGAATCACCACTACTTCTTTATGCATTTTCTTCTGCAATCTTGATCAATTCTACACCTTAACAAAAAGGATTGTGCCATCAACCTCATCCCTGTCTCCCTGTAAGGAAATCTTTGCTGCCAGCTCTTGAAAAGGGGCTGATGAAATCCTGTTTTATGGCTGGAATTGCTGCCCACAAGGAATAAACATTCCATTAGTAATGCTTTATCCCTCATTTGCTCTCGTTAGGAGGTAATTTCCTTTTCTACCCTGAAAATGGAGAATAATGGTGATAAAACAAGCGAGATGATGATTTCCTTTCTTGATGAGTTCTCTGAAAAGGAAAAAAGGGAAACTCATGTTCTTGAGAGAGGGGCAGGGTACACCCAGGTCACACATCCCCATCTGAGCCAGCAGGGACAAGGGCTGACCTTTGCCACTTCCTGCTTCTCCAGCATGCAGGATCTGCTGTTTTCCCATCAGGAAGGACATGGAGGTCAGCTCAGCACTTTTGGGCAGCCTCCTGCTGCTCTGCTGCCAGTGGAGCTCTGGCTGTGGCTTGGTGGCAGTGGGAGCTGTGACAGGTCACTCCTACCCTCCAGACTCCGTGTCACCCAAACCCTCCTCATACCCGCATTTATATTTACCTGGCTTTTCCTTCTCCATTTTCCAGCCAGAAGAGACAATCATTCAGCCGGGTTTGACTTGGAAAAGAAGCTTCTTGAACTCTGCCAGGCAAGGGAGAGGCGGAATTGTGGAGAACTTCAAGGGGGAAACACAAAAAGTGCTGAAGAAATGCACGTTCTCTGGGGATAATAAAGATGGGAAATGATGTCAAGTCAGATGTCCAAGCAGGAGACACTTCAGGAGGAAAAACCAGGACACCTTGGGTGAAGATCTGACAGGAACTGTTCTGGTTTCTCAAACAACCCAAGAGAAAATAAAACCAAGGTAAAGCATGAGAAGAGCTGCCCAGACTGAGTTCCTGAGCCTTTAGTCAGCCCAGGATGGCAGCTGGCACCATCAGGACCAGGTAACCGAATAACCACCAAGGAACAGGGATCAGAACCTGGCTTGTAGGACCAAACTGCAGAGTTATTTGCAAAGAAAATGGTCCTCCCTCAATTTCCTCAAAATCTTCAAGTGTGCTAAAAAAAACTCACAAAAATACAAAATATTCAGCTGATGTCATTTCCCTGGGCCCAGGGAAGCTGTGGCTGCCTCGTTCCTGGAAGTGTCCAAGGCCAGGCTGGATGGGGCTTGGAGCAACCTGGGCTGGTGGAAGGTGTCCCTGCCTGGGGCTGGGACTGGAAGAGCTTTGCAATCCCTTCCAAACCACTCTGTGATTCCATTATTCTGTGGTTCTATGAGATGGCAAGGAAAGAGTGCTGGAAACCCTCATGGATGAAAAGTGAAGTGCTTCAGACAGAAGAAAACTTGAATTTTCTTATGTAGAGCTGAATTCTAATTAAATTCAATTGCTGAGAGAATTAAAAAAAAAAAAGAAAGGAAGAGAAAGTGCTGAGCTGTAAAGGGCACCATAATCACTGCAGGGAGCTGGGCACAGCCTTCAAACAAAGGTGTAGCACAAAATAAACAGGTTATGGAAAAATACCACGAGCCAGCTCCCAGCAAACAGAAATTTATTGGGAAAGTTGTGCTTGTTCTGTTTGTGGAGGCACCAGGAGGGTTCAGGGAGGAGCCACCAGCCATGGGGAGGTAAAGATAAACTGATTAAATGAGAGAGCTGATTGGAGATTCCAGCACCTTCCCCATGGCAGGTGAAACTGGGCACAGCCAGGGACAGATCCCCCATCTCAGCCTCACACCTGCCCCAAAAAAAGGAGTTTCCTGCTGTTTTCACAAGGTGGGTGGCACAGGGGAAGCTCTTACCCAAAAGGGTGGTGCCCTGGGAGATGGAGGGTTCATTTTATCTGTCCCCAAGACATTGTGAAATTTTGAGCTGCTGAGAAAAGTGTGACAGTTTGCAGAATGCTGGTTCTGTTGTATCATCGTGGCAGGAAAGAAAAATAAGCAAATACAACAGAAGTTGTGAAATAGAATAGGAGTTGTAAAAGATAATAGGAGTTGTGAAGTAGAGCAGAAGTTTTAAAACAAGAAACCGCTATGGAGAGTCCCTGGCAAAACAAATCAAATACAAGAATGAATATTTACACATTAAATCCAAACACAAATTATATTAATTGCCACCCAGTCCAATCCCTGTTTCCAAGGAATTCTCTGCCTCTGGCAGATGTTCCCCCCAGTGTCTCCAGGTGAGGAACCCTGGGCTTCCTTCCCTGCACCATCCTCAGATGGGGACAGCAGTGCCAGAGCTTTGCAGCATCTGGAATTTCCACTGCTTTATCCTTCCACAGCTGTCCATGGCTTCAGGAAGCGCTGAGGGGAATGGTGGGGCTGCTGTGGGAAGGGCACTGAACCCTCCTGGCTGACCAGAGGCGTCACTGCCTTCCATTCCCTGTTTCCATGGCCTGGTGGGAGGCGTGGGATCGGCACCCAGAGCCCTGTGTGCCTGGGGTGTGTGTGTTTGCTGCTCCCCACGGGGCTGTGGGATGCTCCCCTGCTCCTCACCATGAGGAAACTTCCCGAAACAGGGAAAAACTTGGCTCCAACCAACCCTGGAGAACAATGAGGAGCGGGAGTGCAACGTCAGCAGCACCAAACCTGGGTATCCCAGGCAACACCAACACAAACATCCCGGGATTGCCCAGTCCAGCCGTGCCAGGGACATCCTTGCTTTGCTCAGAGGGTTTTCTCATGGATAACCCGTGCTGGCTCCCGCAGCACCCAGACGAGTCCAGGATCACTCCCTGTAATCTGCTCCAGCCTGTGTGTGAGGAAGTGTCTGGGACTCCTTTCCCACTCAGGCCATCAGTTTTTCCAGACAGCTGAAAGTTAATGGGCACCATGATTCAAGTGAGTAATCCTTGTGAAACCAGCTCTGGAGGAAGTTGCCCAGCAAAACAAATCCCGTGGTCCCAGCTGTGACGTGGAGCCGAACACGGGGCGCTCTGTATAAAAACCAGGAATCATTCCAAGGGAAACTGCACATTTCAGCTCTGCTGAGACATCACACAGAGTGCAGGGATGCAGAAAACTATCCCTGGCTGCTTCTTCCAGCAAATGTAAGTATTTTTCCTTTTCAGATGAGGAATAGCGCTTCATTACAGTTGGGATATTCAGAGCTAATCCACCTTTTTAATTTGTTCTCCTCTTCTCTATGTTCTTTGACATCATTACTGGAGGAATTTTGAAAGGAATTACCTGTTTAAGAGCAGGAGGTATTTTTGGGTACCCCTTAAACTACAACAGTGTACTTACGACAAGTAAGAAGTTATTATTAACTGGAATTTGGGAAGCGTGTCAGGAGAGATTTCAGTGGAGATAAAAGAAGTAGTGCACTGAAAACACCAATTCTTGGATCAGGAAACCTTCTGTGAGCTTGAACTGAGATTTCATCTGACCAAAAACTGTCCAAGTTTCCCGGTCCATGTGCAGGAATCCTCTTGTGGGTGACCTGAACCGCCGGCCACAAGAGCTTTGAAAACTGTAAATAAATGGGTGAATCTCAGGTTTCTTCCTCCACTGAGTGTGGCCACTCTGGAAACATTCAGGAAACAGCTCCCCACTCCTGTTCCCCTACCAGGAGTGATCCCACCTGCCCAGGAGCAGGCAAATGTCTTTGTGGGCTGGTGGGATTTCCCAGCTGGAGGAAGCTGTGGATGCTGATCCTGGCAGTGGGAGCTCAGCTGAGCCACACAGGAGGAGTTTGTAGCTTCAGCCCCTGCCTGTGCTCTCTTCATGCACCTGCTCTTCACCCAATTTTACCTTTCTCTTACCTGTGCAGAGGCTGTGTCTGACCAGTGCCGTGCCCAGGGCGCTCTCTGGATCTGATTTGGCTACAGGAGCAGGGGCTGTGCCCTCACAGCATCCCTGTGGGGTGGGCAGCATTCCCTGCCTCCTCCTGCCACAGCCCAGCCCGTGTCCCCATGGAGGGTGGGCATTGGCAGTGCCAAAACTCTGCCAGGGGCCACCGGAGCTCTCCATGAATTGAGCTCCAGCACCTGGGAACATTTCCCAGCTCTGCTTCATTCACAAGAGCAGACGAATCCAAACAGGACTTGGAGCAAGTGCCAGGAACTGGGATGTCTCTTCCCTATCAGCCACGTGCAAGTGACTCTGTGGTGACCCATGGGGCTGCTCCCGATCCCTGCCAAGGGTGTCATCTGTTTTCTCACACTGTGTCCAGATTCCTTGGGAGGCACGAGGTCAATCCCTATCCGCCCAGGGAGATAAACATCTCAATCCCCTGAGGTGAAGGAGGAAATCAAACCTTGCCCTGCTGCATTCTGGATGCCAGTTTTAACCCCTAAATTATGGTGTGGAAGAGGCAGAGGGAGCAGGAGGGAGCCCTGGCTGCAATCCTGCCTCGAGGGGCAGCCGTGGAATGAAGGGATGGATACCTCTGGTTGTCACCAGCAGGAAGGCATCTTCCAGCCAGAAGCTCCAGTTCCTTTCCAAGGACAGTGGTGTTCAGAAAAATGCCGGCAGCACTACGGAAAATGCTGGAGTTTCAAGAAGAGAGGATGGGAGAAACATTTAGAGCTCCTCAGGGTTCTTCCCTGAGCACTTCCTCTGGCTTCTCCGGCTGCTCCTGATTCCTAACGCTCCTCCTTGGACTCATCACAAAACCCTGGGGTAAGGTAGGACCCAAGGTCCAGGAGCTCTGAGTTCAAATGCTCCACACGGACAAGATCTGATTCAGTTCATGGATGGTGGTCCTAAAACAAACAATTATTTTTATCAAGGCGTGGAATTTACCTCCTTAAAAATATAATTAATGGAAATGGACACAGATATAGGTTGCAAGGAAAAAATAATGACAGGAGATTCTTAATGTACCTTTCAAGGGAGGAACTTGCTTGAAGATAAGAAGATAAATCAGGATTCAGCTGTACATGTCACGGCTTGGTTCTCCTCCTCTTGGAGCTGGGGACTTGCACGAATTCCAGGCTGTGGATTCAGGGTTTGTTCCATTAGCTTGGAATTGCTTTGGTGCTCTGTATCAAAACAAAGGGGTCAAACCAATCATGGAGTCATTAAGGTTGGAGAAAGATCTAAGATCATTTGCTTTTACCACAAAATGCAGAATCGTTTTTTCATTTAATCACTGTGGGAAGTGAGGGTAGGATGAGTTGACTCAGTTGAAATACGGGGACAAATCTTTTCCTACTTCTTTCCCAAAGTAATCCTTCAGCAAGTTGGATCAGACACTGCAAAGACAAAGGAGAACAGGCACATCTGAATCTCAGATGAGTCAGCCTGGTACCAGTCAAGTCTTTACAAGCAATGGGAAAAACCTGGCTCTGTACCTTTTTCGGGAATCACTCAGGATTATCATTTTCCCATCATCCCAGCAAAATTAAATCCAGGTAATGACTCAAGCAACCACCCAGACCTGTTCAGTAATGCTCTGGAAATGCTCTGTAACACCAGCTCAAGGTGCTGACATTGGGAATTTACATATGGAGATAATTGCTCAATAGGAGAGAAATGGAATTGTTACAGTCGGCTCGATCTCTGAGGATCAGCCTCCTTGAAACTTCTGCAGTGGCACCTTTTTGGAGCTGTTGGCCTCAAAACTGGTCACACACCTTAGTCAAGGCCCAAATTCTGCTGAGTTCCTTCTTGCAGCTCATGAAAACCACAAAATGTGAGATCTCTGCAGAGCCCCATCCGACACATCATTCCTCAAATTCCTAAAAATGAGCCTTCCCTGGCTTTCCCATCCAGCTGTGTATGACTTCACCACAGCTTCACCTAGGCCACATTTCTTACCTTGCTCCTCCCTAAAAATGCTTCAGTGAAACAATATTGAATCTCTTCAGAAAATTCAAGCTCTGTGACACTGGCTGGTTCCCACCAGGGTTGATCACCCTGCTACAGGAGGAAGGGAGGAAGCTGGGCTCAATCAATTTGTTTTATCTGTGAGAAACCCACATTGCTCCTCCTTATCTCCTGTCTCCTATTTAGATAACAATTTCCTTGTTTATTTGTTAGAATTGAATATGGAGATGATTTTAGTATTTTCTAAGAACTGCAGCTTATCATTTTCTGGCTCCTCCCTTTCAGGGACAGGGATAATTCACACTTACACCCCTTCGGCACAAGGTTACACAAATTATGCTGCTACCTAAAAATATCCAGGCATTTACAAACTTCATCCCTGTTTATGATATCAGTGTGTAAATCCAAGCTCAGATCCTGAGCTGGCATCATCTCCAAGCAGTTCTTGGCACCGGAATGTGCCTGTACAAGTGCAGGTCCATCACAGTTTGCCTGGAATCCTTCCTGCTAATTTTATATTACATCACTGGAGGTTTTTTTATATGTCTTCCAGGTATTCTTCCCTAACTGGCATTTCAATGGAGAGAGACCACATGAGAGATCTCAGAAGATACCTGGCACTGAAGTATATCCAATACCTCGTCCTGTCTTCCTCCAACACCGTCAGCACCCTGCTGGGGCTGCTGGGCAGCGTGTACACCATGATCCTCCTGCAGTCTGCCAACGTCTCCTCCAAGTCCACTGCAGTCTTCATTTCCAGCCTGGCCCAGGCAGACATCCTGGTTTTCCTTAGCTTTGTGTCTGAGGTGGTTTTGGGGAGTTTTGGTGGCGCTGTCTCTCCCGCAGCCTCGGCCGTGGGGCAGATCCTCCTCACAGCCAATGCCCACGTGAGCTGTGTCCTGCTCAGCTGTGTGGCCTTCGAGGCCTATGTGATCACCTTCCTGCCCTCGGAGTCACGGCCCCTGCGGACAGTCAGGAATGCCAGGAGGATATCCAGGGTGATCTGGATGCTGGTGGCCACGGAGTGTGCCCTGTTCCTCATGGATGACCACCTGAGCGCCAGCGGCCCTTTGGGGCTCCTGTTCCGGCTCTCCAGCGCGGCCGTGGCCCTGCTCAGGTCCCTCAGCTACATCCTGGGGATTCTGCTGAGGATTATCAACGTGTACATCTACTACAAGATATTTTTCAGCATGTCTCCCAGGTCTAGACTCAAATCCAAGTAGGATGTGCTCCTTCTGGGAATGCTGGAACAGCACAAGAACCCTCAACGCAATTCCAAATAATTTGGAAACTGTTTAATAACCAGGACCAAGGCTCACCAGGGAGTTTAAACCTTCGTGATTCCTGGTGCTGTTCAGCTGTTATTGAGAAGAGTTTGGGGCTGAGGAGCCCCTTGGCATTGAGACACCTGAGTTGGTGTGTGTTTATTTAGACTTTATTCACCGTAGAGGTGAAACAAAAGATATTTCATGGTTGTAAATCAACCCCACTACTTTTTTTTTATATAAAAAGGGTGCTTAAAGGCTTCCTCAGGGATCTGTTGAGCCAAAAGTTGTGTAGTTGTTTACTGAAGACAGGATCTATGTCCTGTTCCTAACTCAGGTGACCTCCAGGCTCTGCAGGTGGGATGGAGAGACAAGGTGAGCCCAAGGTGGGCTCAGGGCATCAGCCCCACCTGGAGAGCTCCTGGGACAGAGCTGGGCTGAGATGTCACACCGGAACACTCCCTGAGCTGTTCCTGGGAGGTTGTCACAGCAAAGCAGGGAACAGCTTCTCTCACATCCTTCTTCAGAAATAAAAGCATGGAAAGCTGGAATGCAGCTGTTTGCTTCAGCCCTAGGAGAGAGAGAGATTGAAAATCCCACTGTGTGGAGGGTTCCATGTACTGCATCCAGAGGCATCTCCAGTGATTCCATGGCTGTGGGTTTACAGGCAGGGAGGGATCTCTGGGATTAGCAGGGCTGTCCCACCTCCCCTGGCAGTGGTGGGGAAGATCACGGCCACTGATGTCCTTCTGACCACACTGGGGCTTGGGTGGATGTGTGAGAGCTGTTCCCCAGCTGGTGATTCCTGGGATTTCCTCAACACTCTGGGATTTTATCAGCAAAGCACAAAGTGCTTCAGATACCTCTGACACTGCCCAAGGCACACATGGCCATGGGAACTTCCAAATCCTCCTGACTTCACATGGGAGCTCCAGGTACAGACTGTGGTGGGGGGAGACTGAATTTCTGGCAGATGTTCTGTCATCCCCAGATGATTCTGCCATTCCCAGGTCACTCTGCCATCCCCAGATGTTCTGCCATCCCCAAATCCTTCTGCCATCCCCAAATCCTTGTGCCAGCCCCAGATTTTTCTGCCATCCCCAGCTCATGGCTGCAGCACCAGCAGCGAGTGCTGAGTGCTGACTTTGCCTCTCAGCAGACTCAAAAGGAAGCTCTGCCAAGGGCTGGGGATCAGTAAGAGCAGAGCAGAAATGTAATCAAGTCAATTAAACCCTTGGATGAGCATTCCCAAACAAAGCTGATCCTAGCAGGAAGGATGTCCTAATAACTTGATGCACTGTGATAACCTGTTCTTGCTCCTGAAGCCTAAAGTGAGACACTCCCAGGAGAGATGAAATGTTACTTGAAGTGCTGTAATTAATAAAAATTTGTTTTGTTAAAGCTTGGGTATTATTTATGTATTTTTGCTTTGGTTCTGCTAGAGAGATCTAGAGGAGATGATTACTTTGCTACAGCCCACGTTGGCAAGGTCTTTATAGTGAATATTTAGACCACATTTGACTGCTTGGTTGGCAAAGAGGGACAGAGCGAACCCAGTGACACCGGGGGATGCCCTATCTCCACCCCTATCTCAGAAAATTCAGAGTTTTGCTGTGGTGCAGTTCCTGGCAGCCAGCCCCCATCAGGCCCAGTTCTGATCACCTTTGCAGATGGAGAGGAAACAAAACCCTGCACAGGATGATCAAACTGATAAAGGGAAGAGTTCCCCCTGTCAGCAGAAAGCTGCCAGGGAAGACCCAGGGGCTGCTGGAGGTTTTGCTGTGCTGCTCACAGGTGCTGTGGGGGGAAAGCCCTTCCTGCTGTCCTCCAGGCCAAGAGCTGCCCTGTGCACATCCAGCAGCGAGGGGAGGAAGTGATTTCCCAGGAGAAGGAGCAGCCTTTGGCTTTTCCCTTGGCTGGTGTCTCCTCTGCACATGGAACAGCTCAGGTCAGGCTCGGTGATCTTGGAGATCCCTTCAACCTCGGTGATTCTCTGATGACCCAGTGCCCCTCCTGAAAGCAGCTGGGGTTTGTGGTGGTCAGGCTGAAAGGGAAGGAGATGCTCCACAAGGAGATTCTGGGACAGAACATCGGGCTCGGAGAGATCTGCATGGCTGGGACACCCAAAGCACCTTGCAGTCAAGGACAGACCCTCCATTCCCTTTGTTCACGTCCTCATCTGGAGTTTCCAAATCCTTGAAACAGAGAGTGCTTCTCTACAGTTCAACTAAAGCACAGAAGCTATTTTTATTTTCCATTTGGATGTGATTCTGTGTGTGGTTTTGACTGGCTCCTGGTGGTTGACGTAGCTGCAGCTGTGGGGTCAGGTCATTCTCTGCAGAAGAGCTCAGAATTTGCCTTTGCCAGGAGCTTGGAATCACAGAATCATGGGATGGTTTGGGTGCAAAAGGATCCTTAAAGGGCATCTAACCCTCCCCTTGCCACGGGCAGAGACACCTTCCACTATTCAAACCTCGTCCAGCCATGGACACCTCCAGGGATCGGGCAGCCACAGCTTCTCCAGACCATCTGTGTTTATCTTGGAGCTATTTCCTGCACCACACCCCCCAATCCATCCTCTCCAGGACCACAAAAACCTTTTCTGGGGTGCAGGGAGAGGCACCCATCCCTGCAACAGGGAATCCCAATGGGCAGATCACAGCTGGCATGGGGCAGCTGAAGGAAGGCATTTCCCTCTCACAAGAGGTTCTCCCAGGACATCAGATTTGTGTAAACTTTGCCTCTTGGAAGAAAAGTGGTTTAGATTTCACTGCTTGTGAGTCTCAGCCAGGACTTGCATCATTGCAGCAGCACCATGTGAGCAGAAAGGTGAAACAAAAGAATATTCGGAACAGATGCGTAATGATGGCAACGAAAGGGGAATTTCTATGTCATAGGAATGACCAAAATCCCAAAATTAGAGCTGAGGTTACACAGCATGTTTACCTTACTTAATGATTTAGGCAAGAAAGGAACTTTTTCTCTTACTTTTGCTGGGAAACCTCTTTCAAAGAAAGTTTGATAATAATCCAGGGAGAACGAAAGACTCAGACACAAAGGTATTTTTTCTACAACTATGAAAACTACTGCAACTATTTTATCTAAAAATGACAACTAATTCATTTTTAGGGATGAGTTTTCTGAAGCATCGATAATCCAAACACTTGGATTTAGACCTCACACCAACCACAGAGCTGACTGAATTGAGGAGATGGGTTTGCTCCCTGCAGTAAACCACGTTAGAAGATGTTGAATGTTCTTGGGAAATGTTGCTCTTTCGAGATCAAAATTCCAGAAAATTCGGGACAGTTTGGTTTCTTCTAACAGGTGCTGGCTCCTTTTTCTTGAATTCACAGCTGTTTCTCCGAATGCCATTTAAAGGACCTCCGGGGGTGTTTAATAACGAAACCGAGCGCTCTCGAAAGCGCAGGGCTGTGTTTGGCCCCGAGCTGGGAGCAGTGAGCGGCCCCGGACTCGCCGTGTCCGACACGTCCCATCTGAAGGGTTTTGGCTCTTGTTCCTGTTTACTTCATTATTCCTGGAATCGCTCCTGCCCGGGGATCACCGCTCTCGCTTGCACGTCGTGCCCTCTGCTGGGAGAGATGGATCAAACCAGCCCGAAGGAAAACCACGCTTTGCTCCAGGCTTTGGGCAAAGGCAGGCAGGTGTGGGACAGGGGGAATGGCTTTCGGATGAAGGACAGCAGGGTTAGGTGGGATATCGGGAAGAAATTCTCCTCTGTGAGGGTGGCGAAGTCCTGCCACAGGGTGCCCAGAGAAGATGTGGCTGCTCCATCCCTGGAAATGTCCAAGGTTGGACGGGGCTTGGAGCAGCCTGGGATAGGGGAAGGTGTCCCTGCCATGGCAGGGGTGGGGCTGGATGGGCTTTAAGGTCTCTTCCCAAGGGACCAACCTGTGACCCCCCAACAGGAGGATCCATCTGCGATCCAACAGGAGGCAGCAGGTCACAGCCAGCTCCACATCTGGTTGCCGATCAAGCATTTCAGTGGCCACGCAATTCCCCTTTATTCCGACCTTGTTTCGGGAGCTCTCCCTTGCACGGTGCAGTTGCCCAATCCATCCCCCGGGGGCTGTTTACCCTCTCCTTGCGCTCAGGTTTGAGTCAGGACCAGGCACACCGAGTCAGCCAGAGCCCTGCACCGCTCTGCAGCCTCTGCCTCAGGCTCTGGCCCTGCTGGAGGTGTTCTGGATGGATATCTTACAGCAGAACCAGGGAAAATGGGATTGTGCGTGCAGGGCTGGCTCTGGAGGCTGCTCCCGGAGAGCTGAGCTTTGTGTTCAGGCACACAGGGCTGCAAGGACGTGATGGGGATGGACCAGGACTCTGACTGGGGGTGACACATTGAACGTTTTGATTCCTTCCTTTCCCTCACACTGACCCCCGTGTTTTCCTGAAATTAGGCTGGACAGGCATCCAAACCAGAAGCATCTGCTTCTCCTTTTGGCGTCAGCAGTGTAAATAAATCGCATTTGTGATGTTTGGATTCCATAAATCTATTGCTCTTGGCTTTTCCCTGAGCGTGCTGAGGAGCAGAGGGATGGAGGCCCGGGCTCTGATCTGTCTCCAGGCACATGGAAGTTTGTTTACAGAGCCGGGTGACCATGGGGAAGTGTGGGACTCTGCCTGTCCCTCACAGGAACTGCCATTTCCCCCAGCCCTGTGCAGAAGCAGCTCCTGGAACAGCAGCTGGAGCTCCCAGGGGCTGCGGCTCCCAGCGCCCAGTTGCCAGTGGCCACCACAGAATGGTTCTGTTGGAAAGGACTTTAAAGGTCATCTAATCCAACCCCCTCCGTGGGCAGGGACACCTTCCACTGTATCCCGGTATTCCACTGTCCCAGGCTGCTCCAGGCCCCGTCCCTCACCTTCCCACGCAGCTCCAGCCCCATCACCCAGGGCTGCCTCCCCGGGCACATTCCCCAGCCCAAGTCGGGCTGTTGCCACGGTGGGGAGCCAGAATCCTTCGGGAAGGGTTTTGTCTGTCCAGCACAGCCCTGCCCCCAGAGTGGGCTGAATCCCTCCTGGAATTTAGAAATGATGACCTGGGGCACCCGACCTCTTGCCAGCTCCAGGCTGAGTTTGTTCCTGTTTGCTGCAAACCTGAGTTTGGGTGGACAAACCAGCACCTCACTGCTTTAAAACTCAGAGCAGATGCATCACTGCAGGAGGTACCAAACAATTATTTAAAACTGGTTTTAGATAATTTCTTTTTTCTTGTATTTTTTAAAACAGTGGAGTAGGAATATTTATTCTCTCAACTTCCCTGAGTGAGCCATGAAAACTCTCCAGCTTCTCCCTCAAGGATTTTTAATGGGCATGAGAACACTGAAAAAAGGCATTTTCCTTGTAAACACCGTGGTTTGCTGGAATTCACCCCAGAACAGAACCCCGACTCAAGTGAAGAGGTCACACATAAGCAGATACTTTACCATAGTTTACATTTTCAGATGGAGGAAGAGGCAGAAGCACAGGAGATTTTCCTCTGCCTGCTAAACAAAACCAAGGGACATGAATCCAGGTGGACACCGACCTCGGGGTTCCACTCAGGGCTGGTTTGGGGACCTCCAGGGCTTGGGGAACTCCAGGGTTCGCAGACCATGACCCCACCTGGCCCCAGTTCTGATCCTGGTTACTTTTCTTAAAATCCCCTGCACCTTTTAGACATCAGAGCCATAACCTGGCAGCTTTATTCCAGTCTCCTTTCCTTATGATGGGCTGTTTGCCCTAAATCCGAGGAAGAGGAGGAGGAGAAAAGAACAGGAGGATGAACATGGGATGCAAACCCCATTTTTCCTCTGGGCTGGAAGGTGGGTTATGCTTCAGACCAACCCCCTTGAGCCTGGGGGTATTTTCTGCTCAATTTTCAGTCTTGGGGCTCCAAACCTCACTGTTGATCACCTACATGAGAAAATGCAGATTTGCCTGTTTTGTGGCTGACCCAAGATGCAGGAGAAGCTCAGCCCCAGAAGCACACAGGTGCTGCAGTGTGGAGAGGTGTTATTCCAAGGGTGAGCTTTGCCCAAGGAGATAAATAAAAAATAGTGAGGAAAAGCATCGAAAGGAGAGGGATTTTCTGTGAAAAAAGTTTTTTTTCTCCGAGGAGGCTGCAGTGAGAATGAGAGGGAGGAGGCATCAGGAGCCTCGTGGGGCTGCTGGCCTTGGATCCAGGCAAAATCGGCTCCTCACTGAGGTCAAAAGTTGTATTTGCTTTTGAGAAAAGCCTCGGAGCTGCAGCTCCTTAATCCAAGAACAACAGCCCCGCGTGTCCCGGGGAGGAGGGAGGAGGGAGAGCATTTCAGGGATGGAATCACTGCAAACCCCCACTCGTGCAACCTCCCC